AATGTTCGAATTTTTTCTTCACCAACTCTATAAATGAAAGAAGACAAATATCCCGGACCTACATATCCCAAATTCTCCTGATCTGAAACTCCAATCATTCCAATAAATATTTGTAAATTACCGACCATTATTGTAAATGGTTGAAAAGGAATATCATCCAAAATTCGTTTGTTAATTTCCTTATCATTAAAACCACATATTAACGGACCAGAAAATCTTGTTTTTGAACTGAATAATATGTGGTATAAAAAGTTAATCGCACCAGAGGGAGTATCGTAAACAGAACTTGTAATGCCATTTGCTTCACAAATATAACCAGGTTGAAAGGCAGCAACTGAAGTTCCTTTAACTACAGTAATTATAAAGTGAGTTTTATTAAGTGTGACAAGGGTTTTCATTTCTAAGCGTATAGGATATAATATATTGTCACGTGACTTCCACCAGAAACGTCCAAATGCTCCAAAATGTAGTTCTTCATCTAGTTTTCCTACTTTTATCAATGAAACATCATATTTTTTACACTTGTTCATTGTTATAAACGCGGTTTTTAAAGGCTAGTAATTTTAAGAAATGAGAGATTCAGACGCGAAGCAAATTTTCATATAACAATTATCACCGCCGATCATTAATAAATTTATCAAATTTTTTATGTTTCACAGGCGGATCACGAATTAACCTAAATACTTCTTAATTTAAAAAATTATTTGGTAATTTCTTTTAGATAGTAAGTTATAAATTATTTATTTATATTTATTCTTATTATATGTTTATATTTACATATAATTTAAACTAACTAAATTCATTATTTAAAAAATCATTTATTAAAATAGCTCGTAAGTTATTCTATTAATATTACATATTATATAATATTTACATTTAAACTAATTAAATTCTTTTCTAAAAAATCATATTGTAATTTCTTTTAGATCGTAAGTAATTCTATTATATTTATATAATGTTTACATACAATTTAAACTAATTAAATTCTTTATTTAAAAATTATTTAATAATATAGCTCGTAAGTTATATATTTAATGCCATTATTACATATTTATATAATATTTACATATATTTAAACTAACTAAATTTTTTATTTAAAAAATTACTAAATAATATAGAGAGTAAGTTATTTATTTAATTCTATTATTATTACATATTTATATAATATTTAAATATAATTTAAACTAACTAAATTCTTTATTTAAAAAATTATTTGTAATTTCTTTTAGGTGGTAAGTTATAGGTTATATAATATTAACATATCGTTTAACATAACTAAATTCTTTATTTAAAAAATTATTTAATAATATAGATTGTAAGTTGTTATTTAATTCTATTATTGCATATTCATATAATATTTGCATATAATTTGAACTAACTAAATTCTTTATTTAAAATGATTTCTTTTAGATGGTAAGTTATAGATTATTTATATAATATTTACATATAATTTAACCTAACTAAATTTTTTATTTAAATATTATTTAATAATATAGGAAGTAAGTTAGTTATTTAATTCTATTGTTACATATTTATCTAATATTTGCATATAATTTAAACTAATTAAATTCTTTTATTTAAAAAATTATATTGTAATTTCTTTTAGATTGTAAGTTACAGGTTATTTTATTTATCAAAATGCATAATTTTTTTATACACGAATTTAGCGTAATTTTAATGATAATTGTTCGTAATAATTTATTTAACATTATATTTTAATTTTTATATAGAAAATTTATATTTTCTGCCAATATTTATTAAGTTTAATACCGGCATACTAAAAAAAAAAAAAAAAATTAAATAAAACAAATAAATCTATAAAAATACTTACTTAACAAATTGTTTGACATAGTTTTCATAGTTTTCCAATTTATGTCATGCAGTACTATCTAATGCTAATAGATAATAATAATTAGACAATTTTTTTTTTTTGAAAAAAAAAGCACAAAAAAAAAAATAAATAAACTCATAATTATACAATAATATCTTACCTCTTACTATTTTACAATAAAATTATTTTTCATTCCTTTCATTAGAAAGCACAAAAAATATTTTTTTCGTTATTATTATTTATACAATGAAACTTATCCTAACTAATGATGTATGATTGATGATCATGTAATTATAAAGCTTTAACTCACCAAGAAATCACATCCACGTGATCAAATCTGCAGACCATTTTCAAAAATAGCCAATGAAAATAAAACTTAGTTACTATACAGAAATTAATTTGCGTATTTTTTCCAATTATCCAAAGTAAGGAGGTAATTTTGCGTACTAAACTTATAGAAAACCCTTGCGTACAGCTATTAGTAAAAAGTTCGAAGGCCACCTTACCTTTTTATATATATTTCGGGGTCCTATTTGAGGAATGGTGTAGTGAAATTTAATTCAATTTAATGATGTGCTATTAAGTTGTAATTTCGAGAAATTTGAGACATATAGTAGCTCTGTTTTCATCATGAGAAAAATGAAGAAAATTTGGTAACTTCAAACTGCAGGAATTTGTCATATCTGATATTAAAGATATATATGCCTTGCCATTCATATTACTTATAGTTCATGCATAAACAAATTTAAGTGTATACATCCTAATAAACACAAAGACATTTCAAAAGATTAATGTTATAAATTTTAGACGCAATAAATTTGAGAGTCACATGAAGATCTTATGACATAGCAGGTCATATGAACAAAATGAATCACATACTAAATAAATCACAAATTTTTTCCAAATAATATTAATTGTCCGGAGCGAAGCGAAGGACTATATATGTTTACGCACTATGATGATCTATGGAAATAACGTGTAAATTTTTAATCACGTGAGTTTCTCTGTCCAGGAATTCCAAGGCGTTATGCTGCTAATTAGTAGAATATCGCTACATCTTTATTATTATACCTCGCTCCGGACTTACAACGGTTCCCGTTTCCTAGTTTAACTATATTTTAATTTAGGAGGAATTTATATAAATGTATCCAAATTATAATGTACTTATTTATTTATAATTAAAAAAAATCTTGCTTTTTAATTTAATACTATCAAATAAAATTATTGGTTCTATCATAAATTCAATTATAAGTAGAACCGATACTGATAAATGTTACAATTTCTTTTATTATTTACTCAAAATATGCATATTTTTATATTATTACCAATTTATTTAACTCGGCCCACCTATGCCAAAATTACTCTAGTTGAAGATTAGCTAATTGATGGCTTAATAGGTGTAAATAATTATATGATATTTAGTATAAAAACAAAAAAATAAACAAATGTAATAAATAATGTTTTAGCAAATGTTCATTCGGCGAAATGGCTTCGGCAAAATGGAATTCGATGAAATGGGGTTTCGGCGAAATGGCTTTCAGTGAAATGTCCCGATAGGGAACTATATTATTTGCTTAGCCACATGCTGTTTTGACAGGTTGCTAAAATTAACGATATTTACTGGGATTTTCAATAAGTCATGTGTTATGATTGCTTAATTTTTTATGAAATTCTTAATAATGAGATCGTCAACTATAAAAAATAAATTGGGACATTTGATCAAAAGAATGGCTTTCAAAACATTTCTATTAGTGACATAATGTACCATCTAACATAATTTATTATATCTTAGAAACAAAAGTTTTAATTGATGGGCTGGTAATATACTAAGCTAATATGGAATGAAAAAAAATTATAATGAATAATTTCGTTGTGATGACATTATTGAAAAAATGATGAAATGTTAAATTGTATATCGCTAACTAATTGATAAAATGAAAAATAAATGACAATAATTGGAAATTATCAACGTATTTATTATTGTGATTTCTAAAAAATTTTATAAGAGCATATGATTTGATTGCTTATTTTTAAGCAATTAATGAATTCACACGTTATTTATCTTAATAAAAACCTTGCGTAGAGCTATTATAAATTTTTTGACCTTTCTTGTTACCTATATATATATATTGAGTCCTGGAACAAAATCTTTTATCGGCAGACTATATAGATGATCCCGATATTACCCGGATGGAAGTAGAAAATGATTATAGGGGTATATAGACTCAGACAACCATATTACTAATAAAAAAAGGGATATGGAGCAAATATATTAAAAAAAAAATCTCTTTTTAAGGAGCAGTTGATTAATATTCACCCCTCATATGGTAAGAATAAACTTGCAGTAATATGATTCTTACTTTCCAAAATAAAACTACTTATTTTATTAATGTATCTTAATTTTATTTAAGGTTACTAATGGAAAAAAGTTGAAATAAGTAAATGATATTTTATTAAAATAGTGAAGTAAAGAACAATTTTTTTGTTTTATTAAATTTACAGTAGCTATAAAATTACAAAAAATGTATTGTTTTCAAATTATAACAATAAAAATGTGTTAAACTTTAAATTTTATAAAATTATTTACCCGAGTATATCAGGATATTACTCGGGTCATATATGATAAAGTGAGGAATCGGATAACCCTTTTTTATTTATGTATGATCCGGTCCATCCCCCTTGCAGATCAATAAGGATTAGCATCCCACGCGAAATAAGGATTGCCAGGAATACCCGAATATTGATTTACTGAATTATACCCCTAATAAAGGCCGGCCTTTAAGGCCAACCCTAGAGTATAATTCTCGTCAAAAAAGTTGAAAGAAGGTGGAAGGACAAATATTATGAATTAGAAAGAAGGTATCAGAGACTTTTGGAAAAATGCGGGTACTTTTTTTGTTTAGATATTTTCATTATAATTTTTGTTATTATCATTATTACTTACATTTTCAAAAATAAAGTTTTTTTTTTTTAAGGAACATAATGATTTTAATCATCTATGTGAACATCCAGATTTGCATCATTCTCCGTGTTATTACTAAGGGATACATTTATTGCTAATTTTTGTTCACATGATTAATACCAGCCAAGAAATCTAATAAAAGGCTCCCATTTCATCCACCGAAAAAATTCCTCACTGTATCTACTGAAAAAAAAAAGTTTATTCACCATGAAATCTTCCGTTTCTTTTACCATAATCGTTGCAATCATTTTTATCCAAGCCTTAACACCGTTCACTGAAGGTAAAATTTGAATAATCATGACAAAATAATTAATAATCATCTGTTCTAATAACTTTCTATTAAATAAGTGTATGCGGGCCATACCGTATGGATACAAAACAAGGTAGCTCGTGGTTCATATACTGAGGCTGCAATCGTCTTAGAAAATAAAAAAGGGGACTTTTTTTGGAATGGTGATACTGGTATGATTGACGCAGAGGGCGCCTGGACTCATACCGGTTATAGCTTGCATGTTCCAGATAACGTGGGATCATATTGGGTTGCTTTTAGAGTTGCTGCGTCTACTGAAGAAGATAAATGGCGCGGCCCAATCAATAATGATGGGGATAAATGTTGGCACTTTCATGGTACTTTAGAATCTTGGGAAGTACACGAATGTTAAACCAATTTTATCCACAGAGCGGCAAAAATGTCACACTATTTCTTTTTTCCAATCATTCAGTTTTTTAGCGGATCCTGATCATCAGAACCTTAAGTTCTACATATATATGTATACAATATATTGTAATCTTATCTATTTTACTATAGTTTTCGCTCCAATTTTAGCTTTCAAAACTTTCTATCAACTATTTTCTTTCGATTTACTTTTATCTTTAATGAAATTTTTTTTAATCTATTAATAATAATTAATTAAGTAACAATAAATGTATTTGAGTTGACATTAAATTAACAATGTCTCTCATAACATAATAATAATTAAATTATTTAGATTCTAAAATATATGTTTTCATTTATTTCTCACAATACAAAACCTTTTATTAGGCTTTTGTTAATTATGGTATTTTTTAATGAAAAGATTTTCCAGATATCCGTACAGATGGAATCAGCCTTGACGCATAAACGCAAAGCTGATGAAATCGATAATGGTCAGGATGTAAATTATGGAAAGCCGAGCTGAACAAAACCATCAAACCTGGACTGATAAAGATCAATCTACAGTATGTGCTTGTCATAGTGTTCCAATCCATTTACCCGTTAGCCATTTTTTTTGTATTATGAGAACTGTGATCGTATATGTGCTATGTGGTTATAGTATTCAACTACTCTACAGATTAGTCATATAAAAATGATTATTACATAATAATTACGATGGAATTATTTTCGTGATCAGATAAACATATTCAATAATATGATCAAGTGATCCATTTACGAAATATAGGTTCCGGTATATCGAATTTCACTGTGTAGTAATAAAGTCATTGGTAATAATAACAAAATAATGTTATCTTAATAATAATAATACCTCTCGCTTTTTCTATGTAAGATTTGTAGTTCATTACTTAATTCATTCATATAACATTCATTTACTGATAGTTTTAGACAAATTATTATTGCGTAAAATATCTTTTATATTTTTGACGCATTACGTCATTTAGATTAAATATTACACATATTAATTTTTGTAAAATACCTATTGTTTACTATGCATAATAACACAGTTATTGGGTATGGTGTTTCGCAGTTCGGTGATATTTCAACCCCCTTACCAGAACCCAGAGACAATATAATAAATAGGTAATAAGAGATCGTCACTCATTTACTACGATTTGGAATTACATGATTCCGCCTGGAATTATCCAAAAAAGGACGGATCTACACATTATTTTGTTTGATTCATTTCCCATTAAGGCATTAACTATTATATAGCTCTCATATAATACGAGATTGTACTGTACAGTCGCGTCCGAAAGTGTTGCCCGATTACTTACAGATGAAGGCCATAATTATTAAGTCACTATGATCATCTCGGCATCCAGTGATCAGAATTCGACAAACAAAGGCTCATTGGATTCATCTCGTCAAGACGAAGTGAATGGTGGTTGGCCTATATCTCTAGGATCAATAGATGCCAAGATATAACTTAAAACATTCTTTACCTGAAAATTTTTCGAAACTCTAAATTTCACGAAATTGGGAATATCTCACTATCCAGTGATTCTATTCTGACAAACAAAGACTCATTGGATTTGTCTCATTGATACACGTCGAATGGTGGCCAGTTCATACATGTAGCATCATTATATCTCAGGATAAAGGCCAAACCATCAAAAAAATGTTTTAAGGTACACCTTAGTATCTATTAACCCTAGAGATATGAGACATTCACCATTCAACTCATCTTGACGAGACGAATCCAATGAGCCTTTGTTCATCGAATTCTGATCACTGGATGCCAAGATAATCACAGGTTTCCAGATGATTATATCCTTTATCTTTAGGCCAAAAATAAGCTAAAATTAAATAAAATTGCAACTACTAATTTTCCAACAAATTTATTTGGTTTAAACCAAGTAGAGAACATTTAAAAATGAACCAATATATTATCCAGAAGTGTGTCCCTCTCCCAAGAGCTGTAGGCGAATTTAAAGCTATATTAAAGAAAAAATAAAAATTTAAATAGTTCTGTTTTTGAGAAGGTTGCCACCCTGGCATTATGAAAATTTGATTTAGTATGAGAAACAAACTAGGTATGAATATTTTACTAATGTATACACTAGTGAAAAAATACAGATATTTTTGCTTTTGTCTTCATTTTCAAATCGGGCGTCACTTTCGGACGCGACTGTACATTGTACTGTACACGAAATCATCCGAATAAAGAAGGATGGCTAGGTGAATAATGAAATTTTTCGTACATGCAGTGACGTTATTCATGTGATTTTATCTATCTAATAATATTGAACATTCGGTATAAAATATCCTCCTCGTTCTCGTTAAATTCGCAACTATTGACAAAAATAATGCCAGTCAAATTATCGGACAACTACGATTTATCAAAACATGTTATAATTCTTACTGGTGCAACATGATGGTAATTATTTTTCTCAAGTTTTAATAATTATTGATGAATTATAAGGCATCGGTAAAGAGATGACAAAAATTTTTATTTGGATTTAATCCAAAACGATTGATCTTATCCTCTCGTAATAAAGAAAAAGGAAATAAATTATTAGAATATCTTAAAATCTTCTAAAGGACATATAGATAATGTTGAAATTTGGAAAATGGATTTAACAGATTTACAAAGTGTAAAAACTTTTGCATTAATGAAGTTGGAGAATTACATATGTTAATTAATAATGTAGGTAATAAGATTTATTTACGATATTTACGGGGGGAAAAAACCCCATCACGTGACTTCGAACGAAAATAATACCTTTTTTAATTTAATCACGTCGTTTGACATTGTATATTAATTTTGATATTCTTTCAGGTATAGAAACTAAAAGACAACTCCTTAAAACGAAGTACAGTCAGAACTCGATATACCGATATTCGATATACCGATACATTATTAAAAACTTGATATACCGATAAAATTTTACATTCCCACTATATGTGAGGACATATAAATATCGGTATAATTTGATATAACGATATTTTTTAAATTTTTTCTTATGAGTCCCGACATATCGTTATATAAAGGTTTGACTGTATATCTTGGAATTACAATTTCAGGTAATCTTTCTTTACGAGTCATTTGTATAATAACCGAATTTTAACGATTATACATTTATTTTTTAGGTTAACCATTTATCACAATTTTTTGCTTACCATATTATTATTGGATACGATGAAAAAATCAGTCTCTGCTAAATTACCCGGAAAAATTGTACTTACTAGCTCGAGAGCAAACAATTTCGGAGAAATTGATTTTGATAATTTAAATCTTGAAAAAGGTGTTTACTTAAGGGATATGCAAAATACAAAGTTAATGGTAAAATTTCCAATTAAAATTTATATTTATTTGTTTAATCTTTATTTAATAATCAATATGCTCTAATTATATAAAACAAGAATATTCTTATTTGTAAAGAGTTAGGTTATATGCTTCAAAACGATCGTAAGTATAATAAGTTTTTATAAACATATGAAGAAAATTAAATATGCAGATATTACAACATATTCGCTTCATCCTGATGTGATTTTAACTAACATAGCCCATTTGAATACCGGTTTTTCCATCTCAACTCTTATCATAAATACACTTTCGAGGTTAAACGGAATAACAGCCGAGCAAGGCGTTACCAATGTTCTAGTATATCCTGCGTTTTCTCTAGAAACAGGAAAATATTATGATGAAGGCATTGAACAAGAGCCAAATAAAATAGCGAATAATCAAGAAATCGCAAAGAAACTATGAAGTGTCTCTGAACAAATGTTATCACCAAATTTTTAAAATTTTTATATCTTATTTGTACATGTTAAAAGCAATTTATTGAATAAAATGATTTTTTATAAATTTTTTGTCATAAAAATTTTTATTTAAAAGTAGTAACGTTAACGTTAGAATTACTTCCTGTAACGGAAAATTTCGTAATTTGTTAATTGTTTGAGTAAATATTACCATAAATTAAGTGAAATTATATGTACAGTATATATTACTTTTTAAAAGTTACAGTCACCATTATTATTAAGCTAAAATGACAATTGGAAATACTAATTGCTGATCCGGTAGTAATTAAAACTTAGTTATACTGTCTCCTGAAAACAAAGGTTTGCTGTGTATCGCGAGTTGTGAATCACGTGAAATAAAAATTATAAAACAGCCAAATATAAAATATTAGCTGCAGTCCTACAATAGGACCGAAGTATTTTTCAGTATATCATGTGACTTTTATTTATAGTTAATATGTCGTCTATGAAATATTTGTGTTCTAGCACAAAATCGGCAAATTTAACTCGAAATTAAATGAAAAAACAAATATAAATTTGGAATTTAATTTAATTTGCTGATCAGAGTAGATTTAGGCTCATTTTACAGAAATAACGGATAAATTTTTTTATAGAGAATTTATTTTTATTTCTGCATGGTCTGATAATCCACATTATGTGGATTCGGAATCCCCGGATCCCTATGATCATCATCATAAATTTGATTCAAGATGTGTGATCGTCAATTATACAGCCGATTCGTAATATTTCATTAATTGAATATCACGATCTCATTTAAATAAATTTTATTAAATGAGACGATTGATAGACTTGTTACAGTATGGTTTCCTGAATGTCATTTTCCTGAAATCAATTTTCCGATTGGCCATTTCCCGAACCGGATCATTTCCTGAAGCAAGCTCCAATATCTCGAACTTTTACTGGAATAAATGATATACCGCTGTATATATATATAAATTTCTTTTTTTAGAATAGATTTTGTTTATATTAAGTAAATCACAATGACAGAAAAATAAAGATTAATTCCTCAAATAATATTTTCCCATAATTTTTAGGCTTCTTTTTAACCTTTTCCATTTTTGGCCAAAGATTATAAAATTACCCGACTTGCCATTTCACCAAAATTTATTAGCTGCGCCTCACTTCTTACTGCGCCTTAATTTCAAATTATTTCTACAAAAAACTAGATTTTATAGTCTATTTTTTTTCAAATATTATAATTATCATAGAAATTTTAGAAACAAAAAATTTATATCATTGAAAATATTCCTTGCTTTCTTAATACTGTAAGGGCAAAATTTCATGATCGTCGGCAAAATAAGGATTCGTTAAAAAAATGTGATGTCGGTAAAATAGCAAGTAGTCGGTAAATTTTATGGGTGTCGGTAAAATGGATGAATACGCATCTGATCTACTACGCAATAATTATTGCTGGTGCGTACAGTAAGTACATAGATTTAATAACTTGACAATAAAATTCTTGAAGTAATAATTCCTTAATCCTTGTTCAATATTTACATATAATTTAAACTAACTAAATCCTTTATTTAACAAATTATTTAATAATATTATTAACTAATTAGTTCTATTATTACATATTTATATGATATTTACATAACTTGTTTTCTATTTTGTTACCACCTTTTTTTTGCCCATTTCGTCTAGCCTTTTTTTTTTTAATGTTGTTAAGTTATTTTATTTTTTTGTTTTCATTTTTTTTTATTCTCATTTTGATAAGATCAAATGTTTTTCACCTAGGCTTTCCATGGACAATAAGTATTTTTTTTTCCTTCTCGTATTTGTCTAACTTTTTAAATCTTTCAGCCTAGACTCTTTAATGGTGGCAAATAATGGGAGTTCATTTTGTTTATTTTCCTCCCATTTTGTTTCCGGTTCGCCTTTTAAAATTTTTAGTTTCTTTGGTCGCCGTTTTCAAAATAATGTAGCAGGGCATATTAAAAAGATTAACAGATTACTATATGATTACCGGATGATTACTAATATGATTACCGGTAATCTTTTTTCACTTGAATATATAACTTACCACACTATTTTGAATAAGGCGATAATTTATATTTGATTTTCTTTTTCTTAAAAATTTATTATTTTACAATTGTTGCATGTCGATCATGAAGATTTTCCTTTTTTAGTTGTAATTCCAGTCCCGCAGCCAAAGTTAATATATCACCTACAAGGCGATCTGCATTTGCGAAACAAGAAAGTTCTTCACAATTTTTTATATGATCACTTTAAACAGAAATAGATAATCAATACTAATTTTAGTTTTCTGATTGAAACTAAAAAGATAATATTTGGCGTAATGGCCATTGAAAAAAATGAAGGACGAATGAGTGGTCATTGATATCATCTCTTCACGAAAAAAAATGATGAAATATTTATACTTGATACATATGATTTCCACATATTTTATGAGTCACCTTTTTATAATATACTGTCATAACAATAAGATAATTTTAAAAAAAATATTATTTATATTTATTATGATAAATAATTAAAAAAATCGGTCAAAATTTTATCCTTAATTACTATTTGGGGAATTTATTAGGGGAATACGGTTAACGTTCTCGTTGAAAATAAATTTCATCATATGAAAGTACGCAATGCGCGCACAAAGTTATTTGGTTGTACATTCAAAGAACAGACCCATAAGATAAGAGTCAAACATGATGATAATATTAAGATTTAATGGATTGTTGAATAATACGAATTATACGAATTATATGGCTGATAAAGAAATGCCCAATCTTCCTTTTGCAAGTTCAAAATATGGGGAAATTCGCATATTTGTTTATTTTGATACTTTATTAAAGGGTAAATATGTTTCCTCTTTTGAACTAAACTATATTATGATGATGTAATCGAACGTAAATTTAGAATAAACATATATCATTATATAATTTAAAGAAAAAAGAAATATATCTTTGACAACGAACAGTGGCGTCTGTTTTTTATCTTGCAGAGAATTTTGTACAAAAAAAATGTAAACATCTAATGAATATAAATATTAATTACGTAAGTTCATTAGTATTATCTTGGCTTAGCAAAACTATTAAATGAATTTATATTAATGCATCATCTTTATATTTCTTTTTTTGGCTTTTTTTAGAAGCATCTCGCTCTTGAGAGTGTTACTCGTTGTCCAAAAAAAAAAAAAATTTCCCCAAGAAAGCATGTTCGTCTAAATTACTTATTAAATGTATATTATAATATATTTGATATATATTTGATATAGTTAATCAAAGTTCTGTGTTACTCACGTGTGGGAAAAAATGTCAAATTGTCAAACGAGAATCGGAGAATTGTATTACATAATTTTTTGTTTATTTATAGCGTAACGTACATTTACGAATTTTACCGTCAATCGTAAATTTGAATGAAATACAGTTTCTATTTAAGACAAGATTTTCAATCAAACAATTCATTTGACGGAACTTATGTTTAATATACTTTGAATGACATACTATTCCTTTATTTATATTCATAATTATTAATTTCATAATAAAGTTAATATTTTATATATTAAAAATCATAGAATTAGAGAAGACAACAATAGAAAAGTTCTTAATTGAACCATAATTGAACCATAATCATAGTAATTTTTCTTTTCATATGTTAAAATTCGTCTTTTTTTTTTCTTTCCAACATAAAAATAAGTTGTTTTTGTTGGTATTAGTATAGGTTGTTAGCCCTTAAATTGTTTTTACAATCCCGTCAATTTTAATCAAGTATATACGAGAATAATAACTTAAAGTTGAAAGCATTAATATCAACATGATTTCATTGCTGAGGTTGTACATGACTGGAATCAACTTGTTGCTGTAGTTGAATAACTTGGCGAATATCATTTATATCTTGTTGATCATGATCGCATATCAAGTCATTAGCCTGCGTTGTCATCACATTGTTCCCAATGTTTCCATTATGCGAATCTGTATTATTGTTGAGATCAACTTGCTGTATTTGAGCAACTTGGTGAATATCACTTATATTTTGGTGATCGCATATCATGCTATTAGCTTGCGTTGTTATCACATTGTTCCCAATATTTCCATTATGTGAATCTGTGTTCCCATAATTATTGTTGAGGTCAACTTGTTGCTGTAGTTGAGTAACTTGGTGAATATCATTTATATCTTGGTGATCACATGTCATGCCATTAGCTTGCGTTGTCGTTATATTATTTCCAATATTTCCATTATGCGAATCTTTGTCTCTATAATTATTGTTGAGATCAACTTGTTGCCGTGTGCAAACAAAGTTTCTTTCTCTATTTATATTCTGGCTATCATTACCATAGTTTTGATTAATATCAGTTGTCAAAACAGATTGTGTTGCGAGTGTATTATTATGCACAGTATTATCATGAAATGAATTTCTATTTCCATAATAATTCAATCCCATTTCTCGTGGATTATTGTTGAAATCAATTTGTCGTTGTGAACTATCTAGTGACATGATAAGCAACTCTATTTTGTGGCGCCGCATATGTTGAACTTGAAAAGGGATTGGTGGATTGAAGAAGCCCATTATTTTGATTATCGGCAATCGAAACTACTTGTGTTGTCATTACATTATTCCCAATATTTCCACAAAATGAAGTTGTATTTCCATTACAACGTAATCTTTCAGGGATTTGTTGTGGAATATTGTTGAAAACTTGTTGTGGATTAATGACATTATTAGTAAAATATCCAACTCTAGTTTGTTGAGAAAAGCCATTACCAAAATTATTTCGACCATCAGTTATTGAAGTTATCTGTGTATTATCATCGTAAGAAGAATTTAAGTTTTGAGAATTCATTTTTATTTCCTTATTAGGGATATGATTTTGTGTAAGGAGAGAAGGAAGAATTTGTTTCAAGTCTTGTTCCAAATCCAATTTTTGATTCAAAGATAAAAATTCTTTTCGTTCCAAATTATTTATGTCAATATCTATTCCGTATATTTTTTTGTTCAATGTATTTATGATCCAAGAATGTGGAAGTACTTTACATGTGACATAATAATTTGCTGTAGAATTAATATGATTATAAAAGAATCCATGATCATAATTGCGATCATCCAAGAAAACAGAGCCTTGTAAAATAATTTGGCAAATTATATGATAAAATTTATCATCATGTGGTGCATAATGAAAAAATTTACATTCGTTCATCCGTATGTTACTATGTTGAATCATTGGTATAGCAGCCATAGCATTAATTAATAAACGTCTGTTAGATTTATTTGAGAGGAGATTATCACGGATAATTAAAAAGAATCTTATTGAATAATAATAGAAGTGTAAAAATGTTTTTTTAATACAAATCTACTAAAATAAATTATTTTATTCGAAAATAATTTTAATTATGTTGGAAAAACTAGAAAAGATAGTGGGAAATGAATAAAAGTTATTTTTGAGAGAACTAAAATGATCAATATATTTACACGAATGGATAGTATAAAAATTTTTTTTTTTTTTTTGTTTTTTTATAAATAAAAATAAATTTTTTAATTTTATCGTTTAGAAAAATTCTTTTAAATTGTTTTAATTGTTTTATGAGTGATATTGAATAATTTTATTAAAAGGATTTTTTGGGGGATTTTATAAGAAAATTTTATTGTTCAGTGTTATCTGTTATGTAGTACTCCTAAATAATTCTATCGCTATTTTAGTAAAGATTATCACGGAAGTCTTTCTCTGTATTAACATAAATAAATGAAATAAATGTAGTTTTTTTATGTAAATTTATTCCCACTTTAGTTTTTGTGTAATCACTTAAGGCATCTGTCACGTTTCACAATATATCCAGTTGTATGTGTATCTTGAGTGTATGCGTAGCCCATTTGTCACAAAAAAAAGTGCATTTTTCACGGCCCAGAGTAGTTTCAGATGATTAAGAAATGTTTGTATTTATTAAAAATATATTGGTTTAAAACTATTCCAAAATCGGTTAAATCCGTGTCTGAGTTTCTTTGGAGTTTTTTCCAGAATTTTTTTTTTATAGGCCGTAATTGCATAAATATGGATTGATTATCAACCATACGATTTTTTTTAGCAGTCGTAAAAAAATACAACAATGGTTCGACCTGAAGTAACTGAGGTTGTGACGAGATTCGAAAGCTCCAATCTCGTTACCAATCCTCTTATGATTAAAGAATATAATATATAAAATTCATCCCAATTCTAATCTTGTACTACCAACAAAGCAACATATTATTTTAAAATTTATAATTACACTGTGCTGTATATAAAATCATTCCTATAATATGTTAAACGGAAAAAACTTTCATTTTAAAACACTATTGTTTAGGCCAAAATTAAAACAATAAGAAAAAGAACATTTGTTCTACAACGCTATTTCAATTGTGTCACATGATCTTCATATTAAAGAAAAAATTTATGTTCCATAAATACAAATAAAAACGCGAAATCTAATTGGTTTTTAATATTCCAATGGGTTTTTTTTGGTATAGGGGACAATTTCATGCTATTCACATATTAAATATAGTTGGAAACTATTTTTTTTTGTTTTCATAAAGTCTTTAACATACAGTGAAGTTTGTTAGAAATTGTAAGTTTTTAGAACTTTAAGCAAAACTTAGTATGATATTATTTCATTTTTTTTTTTGTATCATATTTTAGTAAAGATTAAACATAAGTTATTTGTTTTTGAAAAATAATTTTAAGTAAATTGCTAAAGCTCACCGGCGGTGATGGTCACCGTACCAGCATTATGATGCATTTTCGACCAGAATTAAACCCCTAATAAAATACTGGCCGGAATTACATCATAATTTCACTATCGGTGACCATGATGTTTAGCAATACCCTAATTTTAAAACTATTTTGTAAAACTACTATCATCAGAATATATTTAAAATGGAGCTTGTAGTTGAGCATAATTTCGCTTGGTTTAAATAATAGGGCGTTAAAATACATAATAGATAAATTTTTAAATTTTTTTGAATTTCACGTAAATGTACGTACGCACGACGCACGTGATAATATCGTTCATCCGGATGATTATACGTCAATTCCAGAATTAGTATTATTTATTTCATGGGGAGTTGGGAATAATAGGGTTTTTTTCCCAAAGAGAAAAAAGCCTAATGTTCCCTTCCCATGAAATAAATGGGTAATCCCCTTGGAGCGTATCACTCATTAAATATTAACTAATCACTCGCAATTTTTAAAAATTAGTATGTGATCATGAGTGACACTTAGTGCGACAGGGGATTACCAATTAAATTTAAATTTATGACACGTTAATCAAACCTTGTACATTTCCTAATAAATACAACCTACTACTGTATAAATCTAGAAAGTTATCTCGAAAATATAAAGAGTAACTTCTCACGCATGCGAGTGAAATTTAACATTATACTAACATTGGACTTTACATATTATTTTATAACCTAAAAAAGTGAAAGATATAAGATTGTAAATATACGATTTGAAAATCTGATACAAATCGGCAAAAAAACATTATAAATACCACTACAAATATTGTAGGCCAATTTACTAAGAGTAATTTTACTAGTTAAAAATTAGAAAAGGTATATACACAGTTTAAGGGCAACTTTGCTGTTGCGGTTGACAAAAATTTTTGCAGTACCAATCGATAGTACAGGTATCAAATGGACCAAAAAAAACATTCTAAACCCACGAAATTTGAAAGATTCGAGATATTTATTGTTAAGGACGGGTGAGAACAATCCAGATAAACTGAAGCTATACATTGTTGGTCAAAGAGAACGGAAGAAATTTGGTAAAAGTAAACCCTATAAAAATGAAATGTGTTAAATTTGTGATCATGTGTAAAAAACGTCCAAAAAAGCACCATTTTGTCCGATTTATGTCTTATTACAAAAAAACAAAAATTAAACAAATGGTGTTTTTTTAGACATTTATTACACATGAGCACAAATATTAAACAAATTTTACTCATTTCGTTTTTATAGGGAAAGTATTGGTTAAACTACTCATGATAATTGATTAAAGTCACGTAAAAATTTCCATTCACCAAAACTCTCAGTTGGAAAAAGATATGAGTATTGGTGAATATTAAATAAAGGAATGAAATACTAATGTATAATTTCCTAACACTATTTATTATTTTCAAAATTTTATAATCAAAGTAAAAAAAAATTCAGGTTATAAAGAAATTGTTTTTCTCATATATATCTGAATTTGATATAAATTTTCACTTCGTTTGTTGAATAGTAAGACATTATTGAAAGTAATTCAGAACCTAATAACACAATTTAAGCAAGTTAACAATCTGTAAAAGGTGTATACATTATTTACTAAATTCAGCTTGGAGTGATATGGAAATTTTCGAGTTATTGAATGCAAACGTGGGTTTCATTGAATATATGTGGACTAAACAATGTTATAAGTACAAGACCGTTAGGGTGACGCTGCGCTTTAGCAATGCTTATGAAAAGATATACAAAGAGGGCGGCGTGGACGTGTCTTTAACAAGAAAGAACCGTACATTTTTTCTGAGGATGTTTGATTCACGTTTGTCGTATGGACAGATTAAAGACAAGTTTTGTTGGTAAGCCAGTAAACGATTAGAGGATGACGTTCAGCACGATGATATATTAGTTATAAAAGATTTGTGAAAAATTATCGCTCTTTTTTTGGAAAAATTATTAGAGTCAAAGGGATGAGATTTATAATTTTATATTTCAACAAGGAATTGGACTTGATGAATGCGATCAACAAATCTATAAAGTTACATGATATAGGACATGGATTATGGATTAAAAAATAAAACGATTTTATTGACGATAAAGGAGAACTGCAAGAATTTATTCGACGAACAGATTATCAGAATATGGCCTCAAGTTCAAATGGTGTTTCGATGGAGTGGCAAAAAAGTAGGTCATTTCCGAATTTTGCTCCGTCGAGGACACAAAAACAATGGAGGTAAAAATATTGGGTGGTTTGTTTTTATTTGGTTTTATTAAAAATAGAAAAAAGAAAAAACAAGATAAAATGATTATATAGAAAAGATGTTATGTATAGAGACCTATGTATGTAGTGTATAGTGATGTGCACTATACGTTGATTTTGTGATTGTACGACATGACAAACATATTTTTTGTACGTATTTACACTAACCATACGTAATTGTTATATGTATATATAAATGTATCCAGTGGCGCAGCATATGTGAACCGGCAAATTTTGCAAACAGGGCCGCATTACGGCGTTATGCACTAACACGTGAAAACAAAGTGACGAATAAAGGCGTGACGAATAAGTTTTTACTCACTCGAAAAAAACTAAGTCCCTCAGATAATTATAAACAGTGAAACAAGGCTCGGGCGTGACGATGTGATGAATTAAAAATAGATCACGTGACTGTGCAAAAATTGCCGGTGCGGCTGGGCTAGTACTAGTNAGAGTGTAGACAGTTACTGCGGCTGCGCCTTATCATTTGTATTTACGTGCGTTTGGTCTCTTATTTCATTCATACGTACGTACGTTTTGATTTAATTAATATTTATTATTATTTATTTGCCATGTATGTACGTACAGTACACTCAGTGCAACCATACGTACATAGCTAAATTTCACCATACACTACACACAAGGGTCTCTATACACTACATGTTTCCTAATTGCCCAGATAAAATAGTTAAAATGATTTAAAAATAGATTTAGTAGATAAAACAAAGGGCGACGTATTTAGATTAGATAGTTTAGTTTGAAGTTTGAACTAATATAGCGAATTAGGTAATTGATAATTTAGTAAATACTTGGATTAGTCTAGTTTTATGTTTACAATAGCACGTTAGTTGCTACTTTAAACGAGGTTTAAAGTTTTGGTATGGAGAGATTTAGTTTAATTTTAGACTAAATTTCAATGTAATTTTTTTTTGTATTTAATGACTATTAAAATGAAATAATAAATACGTTTACCAAAAAAAAAAAAAAAAAAAAAATATTTAAAAAAAAAATATTTATTAAAAAACATTATACGAGTTATTAAAAAAACATATACGAATTTAATTATCAAAAAAAAATTATATGAATTTACTTATTAAAATATATTATATTACATGAATTTGATTTATTAAAAAAATTATATATATTATTTATTATAGAATCGTCCAAATTGATTCGTGTGAACTAAAATTTTATTGAATAATTATTATATTTGAATATGAATATAAATTATAATATACGTTTTTATAAAATTTTAAAAAAGTTTATTACAGCATGGTTTAGAAACCGAAAAATTTTTTTAAAAAAAAATTGTTAAATGTTTTTATAAATTAAAAGATGAATTTAATAATGGCGAAATTAATAAATGAATAAATTTTATAAATTATATAAATCGCAAATAGCAATAAAAATCTAAATTTAATTAAATTATCAAATAATATGAAGGAAAATTAAAATCGAACATCTCTATTAATAAAATTAATCAATTCTTAATTTATTCTTCTCTTTCTCTTTGGTTGCTTTGACGGTGTTTGCATAGTCTTCTTATTTACTGATGATGTTGTAGGTGGTGTTTTAAATCCACCGTCATCACCAGCATTGACAGTATTAAGTTCCTGAACTAATGAGTTAAGCAAACCCTGTAATTTTATAAATAATAATCAGAAATTTTCAATGTTATTCTGGTATAAAGAGATAAAAACTCACTCGAATATACCATGCCACTCTTAATGCGCATTTCAGAGATTTGTAAGTTGAAAACGTAAGTGGAAGATTGAACGTTTTTAAATGATGGAAGAAATATATTTCACGTTTTTCTATAAGGTAGATGCGAACCTCTGTCATATATGCCTAATCAAATATAAGTGAAGCATATAAGTACGACATCTCTTAAATATATTCGAGTATGAATAATTTTTGCACCTGTATCTCAACAATATATAGTTCCATCCCATTCTTTCCAGAGTAAAGGAACTTCATTTCTAAATCATCAAGCATGTCTTTCATAATTCTCGGGAGGTTGAATTCATCCGAGGCGAGCTTGGTTAGATCGTAAGAATATGGTCCACCGCAAACCAGCGCACAAGCAATCTCGTATTGCTCACAATTACATAATATATCTACTTGATAACCTCGCTCTACTTGTTCAGCAAGTATATCCTTATCATTGTTTCGACGACGTAGAGTTGCAAGGACAGAAACCTCACCCCTTAACGAAATTTGGATTAGAAAAGTTCATATATTGTGCATGCATGTATAATAACGCAACTTACCACGGGACACGAAATTTTCCATCTAATTTCAAAGCTCCTTGTATCAATGGAATAATATAATCACCTGTCCATTCACGTTCATGGCAGTCATTTCGAGGGGACTCAAATGCGTCCAGGCTATAATGATAAAATAAAAAAAGCTGATTATATAACATAATAAAAATTGGCATATTGCACGATATATAATGAGTTCAACAACGTACAATTGTCCCGTTACTCGTTCTACCCAACGCTTTATTTTATCCCAATCATTTTTTGCGTAAGAGAATCCATCATTATATGTAGGTGCAGCCACATTTCTAAGCTCGTGCCATTTTTCACGAGCTTGTGAAAGATCCATCTAAGTAAGATAAAGGAAAAAAAGTTATCAAGAGACCAAATTACTCAACTTTTCTAACCACAAATCCTTACGTCTTGGCTAAATAAATGAGCAACAAGCGGCTCAATTTCATAATGATAGGTATTTTTGACCACGCCAGGTCTTCTTTTAACTAACTCGGTCCACTGCCCATTATTAAATTGCCCTTTTATTTTTAAAGAGGGCGAAAGATCTATAATAAAACTGTGGGCAGGCTAAAAAAATATAAGCAAAAAATGAGTAGTAGTCAAAGATATCATTAACCAATTACTACGACTTACTCATAAAGCGAAGTTGATTCTTTTTCGCAATATTTCTTCAAAAGACGTAATAAGAAAGATGAATCTGAGTAAGATTCATTTGATGATTCGTTTGATGACACATAACTAGTTGAATATGGACTAGATTCGTTCGATGACACAGCTCTTTCTATATCTTCATCGTATTCATCGTCATCCTCTTGCTCTTTAATTGAGAATTATTGAGAATTATTTATAAGTACCTACGTAAATGTTTCGCGATCAATCACAAATTTAACTAACTTACTCTTCAATTGTCGTTTTCGCGCCTTCTTACTTACGACTGAGTTCAATTCTCTATGAATTTCTGTATTCGTCTGATAGACATCAATTTCTGTCAGAAATACACATAATGATTAACTGCGAACTTTTTGAAGGCTTATGGTTAAAACATACCGCTCTTTTCTCTATTAGCCATATATTCCAATCCGAATCACACTATTTCATGAAAAAACTAGACGTTAAAATTATTTTCCAATACACTTTAAGCAAAAACATTTAAACGCGTACATTAGAAGTTTTTTTGACGTTTTCTAGTTTTGATACTTTACGCGGGTCTTCACATAAGCCGATAGCTTGCTCAAGAAATTTTCCATAATTTTCGATCGCACGGGTTTTACGTGTTGGTTGAATAAAACGAAAGAATTCTATTGGTGTAGGATTGTTGCATGAGAACATCCAATCAATGCTTCGTTGTTTTTTTGTTACGTTTGACGGCATCTCGGTATAAAATGGAAATTCTAACAAAAACAGTGTAAGGTGTTAAGTGCATTGTTTGATAATAAGCCAGACAATAGCCACTGAAGTGTGTTGTTGTTTGCACAAAGCCGGCCACCACTGGGATGTCTAAAGCCGTTCTCGACCACGTGATGTCCACGCTTGATTGATCACTATAAATATATTATAGTATTCCCACTTATTTTATACTCTCATCCACTCATTCATCTATTTTAAGGACGTGAACGAACATGGCTTTTGACAACCCCATTATTTCCTGTAAAAAAAGTCGATCCGTTTTCATATTCCGTCTTTTTCCGCAAAAGGCTCATTTTCCGGACCTTATGTCACGGAATTTTCGAATCATCGTGAATGGATCCGTGAAAGGC